TCTTGGTCGCAGATCTGGGCCTTTTTTCTTCCTTCTCTTCTTTTTCTTTTTATCTTATCTTTTATGTCCTTGATTTTGTTTCTTTTTTGCCTTATAGTGGTCAAGATGTTAATTTTTGATCAAGATGCAGATTATTCATCAAGACAGTGATTTTTGTGGGTTGTTCTGTCTTATGGTCTTGGCGTGCTGCTGAAACTGGTCAGATCATTACGCCAGTGCACGTTCTTCTCTCCCTGTTTGTTCGACGACATCTTCTTGAAACCTCCTTTGTCCTCGTTTGATTTTCTTTGTGTAGAAGAACAAGAGAGAACTTTTACATTCTTGTTGTAACTTCTCACTTGATGTTGATGAGCAGAACTATGTAATTAATTCAATTCTAGGAAATGATCTAAGAGCTAAGTCTGCTCAACAACAGTTCTGGTCTATTATAGAAGTTTCTACCATTGCTCGATACGGTTCTTGTCCTTCTTGTTCTCGTCTGTAGTATGTCTCCCAAATATTCTACCATTGGTTCAATGATAAAATGATTCTTGATGTCCATAATCTCTTGGCTAGCTGTACGAATAGTAGGAAAGGTTGTAGTTCTAGAATCAACCAACAAGACAGATCGGATTATTAGTTCGTTGTCCTAATAATTTCTAAGAAACATGATCAATCTTCGGTCGCTTACTGTAATTGTTGTAGCTAGCAGCTCAGAGAGCAGAACTTCTTCGTGGTCAGCTTGTCTTTGCTGTCTAACAAGTTGTATCCTCGACCCAGTAGTATTCTTCTTCTCAGCTCTAGTTGTCTTACTTGCTCCAAGAGATAAAGTCTACTTCGAATCGTTCAGGTATCTGGAAAACAACGGCAGGCCAGCAACTGCTATTCGCCCAAGATGATAGATCCTTCTGCAGAAACGCTGTCTTAAGACAACAAAACCAAACCAAACCACATCCTAAGTAGAAATAAACTATCCTATTTTATTGAGAAAACAACTTCTTGTTCCTAGCGGTCGATAAATCATGTGGTACAAGAAAGACAAGTCAAGAATGTTGACCTTGACAATATGATCTATATTAAGAAACGCGAACTAGGTAGTAGGAAACGCGATCCACCTTCTATCAAAACTGAGGAAGACCACTCAATCAATTCCTAGTGGTGTAGCCTAGTACCGCTTGGAACTAGCAAATAAATCTAATCAAGGAACTACAAGACATTCCACCACACTAATTAAGTTCGTACTACGTCGTACATTTACGTAGATAAAAAAAAATATTTGAAATATGGGTCAATACCTACAAAGAGGGAAACATGTTGATCACTTAGTCGAAAAATCGCTGAGGTCGCCTACAGATTTTGGAAGAAAAAAAATTTTCGGTGTAAAAGATCGCTTGTTGCTATAAGATAGGCCATCAAATTTCGTTCGTCGAGAACCGTGGTCATTTTCCACTTGTAAGATGTGGTCAGTGCATCTAGTTGATGTACCTAGGAAATTTTTCTTTCCATATGCATTGATCATCTTGCACGTCAACATAATAGCACATAGCATAGATCTCTTAACATCACTGTAGGCCTGATCTGTTCATGATGACGATCTTTCGGATTTTTTCTATATTGATTTCGCTGTTGATCAGTGATCATCTTGAAGCTGCTCTGACTTGGAAGCAGCTGTGAATTGGAAAATTTACATTTTTGGAACGTTTTCATGTGGTTTTGGACGATTTCCCTTCGGTCTTCTTATGATCTTTTGTTGTAGCACACAGTCATCTAGAACTTTTGTTCAAGATCCGAGAACATTCTCTACTATGGCTTCTAAGTTTGTTCATCTCTTTGCTTCCATATAGGCTCAAGGTTTGTATGAGGATGAAACAATTTATTGCAAGCGGTCGATCTTCAAGGAAAAAAATCTACGAAAAAATTCATTCCGGTTTCTTTTCTCACGAGTCATGCTCGTGATCAACAGACTCATCTCTACTGATTCATCTCAGGAGTAGTTCACCTATTTTTTCTAGTTGCGTTAGAAAGTATTCATGATTGGGTCGTTTCATCGTTAAGAGTATTAAATTCAACATTCTTGGGTTCGTATTGCTGGATCGCTAAAAGTATTCATTGGGTTTGGGCGGCTGATTCGTTGCGAGCTTAATAGGCATTCCAAAATCGTTCATTCTACGATAATTACTTAAGTAGATATAAGACGAGTAGTAGAGTAGTGCATTTTATGTTCGTGGAAAACAATCATCTGAGTACTGTCTTGTATATCAACAACATCTGAGTTGTACTAGTACCACCTTGATCTTCCTAAAAATAGGGAAAATGCTGCAATCCCTATATTCTTGCTCAGGTCTATTGGAATATGTCCTCTCGGTCTCGTTCTACTTCAAGGGCTGTTGGTATTTTGATTTTCGTTGTTCTAAAACAGGAAAAGCTGCACAAATACAGTAGTTGTACTAGTTCTCCTTCTCCATTTAATGGTCCTGGCTTGCATAAATATTAGGTTGCAGTTCTTCGCTGTCTCCGACTATAAACAACGAAGTTCCTCCTCTCAAAACGAAGCTCTTCATCCTCTCAAAACGAGCTGCTATTCGCTACTACGTGCTTCACTGCATCAGTCTTCACTCGTTTTGCCGGTGGTGGTAAGACTGCAGGCCTACTAGCTACTGTAGCTCCTACTCTCGAAGGAGGTGTGCTGTCGCTTACTCTCCTGTTAGCGTAGTTGTTGAAGTTGAAGTATCCGGCAAACGGCTTCATGATATTTTTGTCCTCCACCCTCTTGCTATCCTGAAGATTTCTATTAATGCTTGTTGTAGAACTAGAAGTTGTGTGGTTGTAGTGATTCATCATTTTCTGCAACCCAAGGGGATTTTTCATAATATTGTTGTTGTTCGCACCATCGGCAGAAGTATCTTTATAGTTGGTGTTGTTTCTGGTGGAACAAGAAGTATTATCATAGTTGTATGGGAGGAACCTAGCTGTAGAACTTCTATCAGAGAAACCTCCTACAACCACATCTTCTTGTGTCGAACATGAAGATGTTGTGGTAGCACCCTGACGCAAGGTAGCAACAGCATTGCGGAATGAAGATGAATCTAGTAATGATCCTGCATCTAGATTGCAGCTTGCGGAAGTTGTTCCACTTCCACTTTGAAATCCAAGACCAAGGGAGTTACTAGTACTTGTTTTACTACTTGATGTATTACTAGGTGTACTAAGACCAGCACCGCCCACTGGTATGAAACGAAAAAGTGCACTCACACTCAAGGAATTGGCTAGGATTTAAGTAGGAAAATAGCCACTTTTTTGAGTGTGAGTGCACTTTTTTCTTTCATAACTGGTGTACTAGGTACATTCAGCAATTTTGGAGGATTAAAAAATTTGATGAGGTGACGACTTGTGTGCTGAGAAGCAGAACTACAGCTCTGTGGGCTCGCTTCTCGAGGAGGAGGGGGCAGCACGCGGGACTCGCCACCGCTTGCCGTTGTTGAAGTTGCACATCCATTTCCTTTCGGAGATCTACTTCTATCAACATCCGTTCTTGTCACCGCTGATAAAGGCAAAGATAGCTGCGGCCAAAGAGGTGGAGCAGTTTTCTTACTGACACTGTGCTGGCCGAGAAAAGAAGATGTCAATGTTCTTGATGCTTGCTCCTGATAATTCTTCATGTAGTTCTTACCGTCAATAGTATTGATGTCGGAAGAAGTGCTGCGGGAAGTAGAAGTACGCTCTCCACGTTCTTGTTGTTCAGTCGACTCTCGTCCGTCATATTGTTCCCGTTGTTCACCTTGCTGATGAATCGTGGTCGTGGTCTCTCCTGGTACTTTAGAGAAGAGTAGAGCACGTGGTGGATGTATCAGAGTAGAGCACGTGGTGATGACTCTATCAGTAGAGGATGTATCAGCAGGCGTCGCTTCTTTAAGGAAAGGATTCAGTTTATCGATCGACCTACGGAAATCCTCCATATTAGAGCTGCAGTCAGAGATTATATATTGCAGAGGACGGCATGTCCAAGTCTTCGTCTACGATGATGCTTCACATTTCTAAGTCATTATCTTCAACTGTGTATAGTATTGAGGATGTCTTCCTCCTCCTCTGGTCTTCCTACTCTGCTGGTCTTGATGTAGTTGACGTCGCAACTGTGTATAATATTGAGGATGGTTGGATTAGCTTGTAGGTCGTTTCACTTCACGACTACTTACCCCGAAGTTTACAAACCACATTGATTTTTAAGAGGATAAGTAGTAGAAAAGATGAATTGAAGGATGATCATTCTAGAGGACGAAAAAGCAAGCGAGAAGGATGTGGAGACATGGAATTTTGAGTTGTACAGTAGCCTTAACCATATCTTCATGTTCCACATCAGCTGCAACAAAGGAGCTTTCCTCTGTATGTAGAGGTTCTTCACGTCGTACTTCTTCACGTCGTACTTCTTCACGTCGTCCTTCAGGGCGAAACTCTGGATCGCTATTAGGACGCTTTGGGGATAGTGGTGGGGGCGGTGGCAAAACGACGACTGCTCTGCTGGACAAGGAAGATGTTGTCGCTTTGGGTGTTGATGTCGACGTGAGCACTCTTTTTTCGGTTTTCTTACTATCGAAAAATGACCAAATCGGTTTCTCCCATTTCTTACTCAAACGGTGAGACGGAAGATTAGAGTATATAATATAAAGCACGACTAGTCCAACTTCGATCGAAAAAAAAGTAAAAAGTCTATAACTAGACTAGAGAGCCAACTACAAGGACAGCACTCATAACAGAGCTTCTCGTTGTATTTCCTCCGCTGCCTGGACGATGACCCCCACTACCTCCACTAGCAGCCGCCCAGGCTGAAGAGGCGCTGGATGTCGCACTGTGTGTCATAGTACAAGGAGAAACCCTCGTTGTAGTTCTCGAAATCGTGCTACAAGTAGAAGTTGTACCATGAAAACAGGGAGCATTTCCTTGTGCTTTCGCGTGATGTGCCGGTGTGTGATCTAGAACATGTACTAGCTCACCATCATATTCGCCACCGTCGACGCCCTCCAACTCGTCCTCTAACTGTTGTATCTTAGCGGCGCGTTAGGTTTTTCACTATCCATTCATGGTTGAGTGAAAAGTTTCAGTTCTTCTCGAGTTCTTCTCTTCCCCTACTTTCATTCCCTACTTTCATTCCCTACTTTCATTCCCCACTTTCATTCCCTACTTTCATTCCCTACTTTCATTCCCTACTTTCATTCCCCTCATTATTACGTCAAGAAGGGCGACCCACGGACTTCTCACCGTAGTAGCCTAGTACATGACACGATTTAGTGATAAACTAGCCGTAAGTAAAGCAAAGTCGGTGTCCAAGTCTGTAGCCATGGGAATGCTCATGCCCTCACCATCCTCTACTTCGACGTCCATATCAATCGGCAAGTCTGTGGCTGTGGGCAGTGCTGTGGGCAGGGTCACGTCTAAGGGGTCGTCGACATCGGCAACTCCCAACGCGGCACCTGCTGTGATTATCTCCCGCGAAGATGTTCTTTGGTAAGTAGCTCTTTTGGTCGAGCTAGCAGAGTCAAGAATTAGCTGGGGTTGCAAGTTGACCGACCTGCTAGGTCGCTGGTCGCATATCTATCACTTGTCTACTTGAAAAGGCCATAGATAAATGCTTCTAGAGAGGTCAACTTCCAACCCTTAAAAAAATGCCTTCCTCATCTTCTCCACGTAGTTCGACATCTTCGTACTCGACATCGTACTCGTCACTGTCGTTATTCTTGTCGTCTTTCGCTTCTTGCCAGAAGGCGTCGGTTGCATTGTCGTCCTTCGCTTCTGGCAAAAAGGCGTCAGTTGCATTGTCGTCTTTCGCTTCTTGCCAGAAGGCGTCGGTTGCGGAAGGCAGGGTTAGAGCTACCACGTTGCATCTTCCTTGAGAGCCATGATACCCTTGTTGGACACTTCTTTTTCCCCTTGAAGAGGCATTATCTTGAGGGCCATTATCTTGAGAGCCATTATCTTGAGGGCCCAGGAACAAGGTGACATTAAGGAAGATTTATGCGCTAGCGGTAGTCTTAACAGGGTTATGTCCAAGTCTTCCTCTACGATGATGCTGGACATTTCTAAGTCATTATCTTCCTGCTCTGGTGGTCCTCCTTCTGTGGTCTTGATGTTCTTGACAACACTGTTTACTGTATCTTGATTTGTACTCCTTGCTGTTGTTGTACTTTGACGTGAAACCGGAATCAGATTCTTTGCGTACAAGATGCCCGAATCGTCTCGCAAAAAAGGCGTGAACCGAAACCAAGGATACTTAGAGCAGGTCGTAGGGGAATTAGTACCAAAGAGAGAGAGACCACAAGGATGAAATAATCATGCATAGGCATAGACGTTCATAGCAGACGTTGTTGTAGTGCTTGATTGACATAAAGATGCCTTAACATGAGATTGCCCAAAAAAAGCTGGCGGAGGCTTCTCGGTCACCTGCACTTCGGTTACATCGTAATAATCCAACAAACTTGCGTCGCATTCCAATGTTAAGAAGTTAGAGCCTCGTCCTGACGACTATCGTGAGTACTGGCACTTTTTTCTTGTGAATGGATCCACTAACTAGTGAGTAAGTAAGTGCGGGGGTCGTGAAGTAGTGTGCCTATTGCTGCACGGGATGAGCCTAGATTTGGTGAGGTGAAAACTAACCGGCTGTTTTAATTAGTGTGCCTATGATCAAAGAGGATCCACCTTGTTGCTAGACCTAAAAATTTCTTTGCTCTCCTCCATTCGGCCAACGCAAAACAAGGGATCTGGAAGCGGAACTAGCCATCCACCGGAACCCTCAGGGACAAGCGTGCGAATGTTTGAACCTGGTGATTTAATGATGACGTAGGTTGTACAAGTACACGACCTAGTACTAACTACATTTTGCGTAGTTTCTATTTCTTCCAGTACTGTACTAGGTAAACTTACAGTAGTACATTTTGCGTTTCTATTTCTTCCAGTACTTCTAGGTAGAAGTCTTACAGGTTTTAGTACATCCAATTCCAATCTCATCATCGTCGTCTTCGAAAACAGCATCGAAAATGATCACTTGGCCAATAGACAGTGGCGGTCGGAAGCCACTGCCTTCTCTCACGACTAGCTCCTCCCTCTCCCCGCAAAGAAGCCTCCCAGCGCTCCGTCGACAGCGGACAAAAATTAGAATGACGCTGCATATCTATGTCTGCTCGACTCCAAAAACAAAGCTTCTTGTATAATAGAAAGAAGAGCTTAAGGGGAAAGAAGAGAGAAGTAGGAGAAAGGAAAGAAAAGGAGCTAATCCCTACTGCGTCGACCACAGCGACCAAGAAAAATTACTTTTTCAAATTCAAGATCGCCGTCATTGCGTCCAAAGTTTCCTTTTTCATGTTGCCTTAAAAATATAGTCTTTGTCGGCAGCCACGATACGCGCGAAACGACCCCAAACCACGGCCCGGTGCTATTAGAGTGTAGTCTCGAGGTAGCCCTGCCCTTGATGTTTGCACTTATTCATGATTCATCTAGTATAATTTCCAACAAAGGTTAAGGTTAAGGTAGTATCTATTCCAACAAATATATTCATGGATTTACCATCTAGAAGTGGGAAGAAGTACTAAACTACTCATAGATTAACATACGTATACTCCAATGATCTCGGAGTATGGAATCTGAAAATCCAGCATAAATGGAATTCATTCATTCATTCATTTACCTGGTCTTGAGGTATCTTTTGACCTAGATCAAATCATAATGTTGCTGACGCGGCTGCCAGTCGTCTCCAGCGTTGACAGCATTGTTCTCTTTAGATTCGTGATACTGCTAGAAGTACTTGTCGAGTTGACGTTAACACTACTGCTCCTGCTAGCAGTGCTTGTCTGCAGGTGTGTGTTCCCGTTCGCGTTGCTCATGCACGACATACCCCTATTGCTAATAGTGGTACCACTCATGTCCACGTTTTTTGAAAGCTGCAGGGGAGTAGTACTCCTACTCATGATGTCCACGCTTCTTGGCTGAGGATTGAAAAAGGATGTCATTGTTAGGCATCTCCTGGATCTTCTTCTAGAAAAGGCGTGCTTCTTCTGGTGGTTCTCTCATGGTCTTCTTCTAGAAAAGGCGTGCTTCTTCTGGTGGTTCTCTCCTGGGTCTTCTTCTAGAAAAGGCGTGCTTCTTCTGGTGGTTCTCTCATGTATAGAGAGGGAGAAAGTTGTCCAGTCGTTGTCCCTGATCTTCGATGTAGAGGAGGAAAGGCTTCTTGAAGGTACAGGCAGTACTCTCTCACGCTCAGCACTCGAGAGCAGAAGGCGAGGTTGAACTTAACTAAGGATAATTGTGTGCAGGATTTCTGCTCGTGGTTCTCTTTCATGTCTATAGCACAACTACAAAGCGTGGTCGTTCTTGGTCTATTGCCTGGCGTGGCCATTCGTGGTCTGTTTCATGGCGTGGCCTATCTCCTCGTATAGCTCAACATGCATGGCCGCGATAGTACCGCGAGCGCTTCTGTGCGATAGCAAATTTCGTACAGGAGATTCTTCTCCTTCTCACATCAGCGCGTTTATTTTCGCTTGTCCTCCTCTTCTACACCGTCATAATTTTCCTCTTCTACGCCGTCATAATTTTCATCAAGACCTGCATATTAAGTAAAATCTAATACTGAAGATACCAGCGACGACACAACACTTAAAACACGCTCTAAACGTAGTGCCCGAAGATGAGCAGAATACAAGATACAAGGAAGTAATTAAAAGAACTAGTACCACCTGAATATCTGATATTCTCAAAAGAAGATCATTCCTCGTAACTACATGATGTTAGACCTACAGTTTCTGCAATCCTTCTCACATGTACAGGATGGTGGTCTATGTGGATGGAACAAATACAATGCAATGGCTCCAATATGGACCGTATGCAATGGCTCCAAAAATACAATGTTGCAATACAATGCAATACAATAAATCTCGCAAAAAGTTCAGTGCAGAGTCTGCCTTAAATTTACTCTCCATCTTCAGGTATTATACAACTAGTATCTTCAGTAAGAAGGACATACTCCAACAACATGGATAGAACCTTCATTAGTAAGGAGCACGTGCTCCAAAAACTACATGGACCAAAGTCAGTGCCCGTAAATCTCAAGCGCAAGCACAACCTTGGCTTGCCATGATCAAAAATCTCAACAGAAGATTGGTGAAGCGACGATGAACAACCCAGCTACACCGCATGAAGCCCAGTTACACGACCGCATGAAGATGCTATGAAGGCGAACACGAAACAACCGTCACTGTCATGTGTGTGTCTCTGTTATGACTGAGCGTAGTCATCTGAGAAACATTAGAACAAACCGTCGTTGTTGTTCTCGTTAGTTAGTACCAACGTAAAATTATAAAGTTTGAATTCATCTATAGAGCTAGTTGTACGAGTTGACCAAATCATGAGGCCAGGTACGAGTACTCTTGACAGCATGATGCTGCTGATGACGGTGGACGTGACAATGCTCACCCTTTCCTCGACATAAATCGAAATTCCGACGTCCATTTCATGCCATACCAGGTCATGCCATCTCGCCTGAATCGCTATATTCCAAAGAACAGTTCTCCAGCTATATTCCAAACAGTTCTGAAAGCTGTTGCATGGTATCTTTTATTAGAGCGTGGACGGTGGTACTTCTAGATCAGTAAGACAGAAGGCCGCATACTTCTAGATAGAATCAGTCAGGAGCACGTGGTACGTACGTCAGAAACGCTACAGGTAGGGAAGGGGTCAGATGGAGATTTCCTCCACCATTCATGCTGAGATAGCATGGGATAGGGCACTAGGACTCTCGGTCCACAGGGCAAACCTGTACCCTCGAGTTCTACTTTGTTTAAAGTTCTACTATTCGAAAAACTGAAATAAGCAAGTAACTGATCAGAATACGCGAGATACTCATGAAAAGGAAGAGTAGCCTTGATGTTCAGCTACCTCCCTTATTTCAGTCAGTAACTCGGTTATTTTGAGTTTTCGAATACTTATAAAAGCTCTCTTCAAAAAGTATAGAGACAGTAGCATTGTATCAGATAGGATATGATTTCACTCGCACCGTATACATACCCTGACCATAACTCTGGCGCCGTCACGGTGTGTCCTTGGACACTAGCATGCGTAGATATCTCGTAATCGTTGCCTCCGGGAAACGTCTTATCTCCAAAAAAGTGTATTTCTCCGTACTCTTCTCGCAAAAATTGAAGGCAATATGTTTTGTCCCAACCTGTCGTTATGGAAGAAGGGGGTTATGGTTGTTATGGAAGAAGGGGGTTATGGTCGTTATGCAAGAAGGGGGTTATGGCTGTTACAAGTCCAATCAAGGATACATTTAATACAACAATTTTACAGTCCAATCAGCTATGCAACCTCCACTGAGGCGCATAGGTTAGTGATAGAAGGTTGGTCTTAGGCTTGAGAGCTATAGATAGTACAATAATTTCACAGTATTATATGCTACAACAGAAGCAAGCAACAAGTCACCCTAGTACAAACACGCACCAGTACAAAATATCTATAAAAAATTAGTACAACGTACTTAGTAAATAGGAATAGGAATAGGAATACCAGTCGGAAACACGTCGAAACTAATTTGGCCACCTATGGAATAAGTCAATTCATAATCCGCGAATTCGCTTTTTAGTGTTTCCACGAACTTCTTCCGTATCCCATGCTCCAAGTCGAACTTCTCGTAGTCGTTTCTCTCTGTTGTAGGTAGTTCATAGGCATGTTGATTAACTGAGTGAGTGAGAGGATGAGGGAGGGAGGATGGGTGAGAGGATGAGGGAGGAAGGATGAGTGAGAGGATCAGTGAGAGGATGGGTGAGACGATGTGAGGAAGGGAGGGAGGCAGGGGGGGAGAGGATCGATAAGCGAAGAAGAATGGGAGGAAGGGAAAGAAAGCATGAGTGAAGTGAAGTGAAGTGAAGTGAAGTGAAGTGAAGTGAAGTGAAGTGAAGTGAAGTGAAGTGAAGTGAAGTAAAGTGAAGTGAATGTACCCACTCTTGGGGTTAGGCAGTCTTTACTTCTCTACTACTCTACTTCTTCGCGCATCTTGCTTCGTGTGAGCGCATTATTTCAACCCTTTTTGCTTTGGCTTTTAGGGACATGTCCTCTGAGTAGTCGATGTGCCACTTCTTGCATTTTCTGCACACTATTTGCTGCCGATTTGCATCTCTCCAAGATGTTATGGGGACTCTAATTTCTTGCAGTTCAGCGAAGTGAAAGGATGACTGGAAGTGAAAGGATGACTGGAAGTGAAAGGATGACTGGAAGTGAAAGGATGACTGGAAGTGAAAGGATGACTGGAAGTGAAAGGATGACTGTGTGAAGTGGTAGGATGAGTGCCTGTTGAACGAATGTGACTCGTAAGAGTGAAGACCTAGAAGCAAGAGCTGTTGAGCGCAGTTGGCTTAGTGGTTTAGGCGTTGGCCTGTTCACTTATCACTTGCAAAAGATACTCATGGTACTACAAGGACTACAAGAAGAAGGCGATACTAAAAATGCTGCGTGGTTCTTGCAAAAACAAGAAGTTATCCTTATCACCACACTAGATGCACTCCTGGAATTGTAGATTCTACCTTCTCTGCTGCAGTTACGTCCGATGGGCGAGATGTTGATCATTCCTGTACGAAATTCAACGAAAGTTCCCCGTTTTATAGGTAAATCCAAGTCCGCGATGTTGTTAGCAATAGGTAGTACACTATTTTTGCATTCTGTTAGTTCAACTATTAAGCCCGTTGTCTCTTGTTGACTCTTTCAGAGAGCGCATTGATACTCCTTGATGTACCCAGCTACAACTGAAAAGGATACTTGTGAAAAAGGCACTGCAACATCGCAGCTGCAATGCGGCCGCGATTCGTGGTAGCTTCAATGACAACAAGATTGATGGTTGTGAAAAATAAGGATGCAATATGAAGCCATGAACCATCGTTGTAGTCTACATGAATCTTTAAATTGAAGTCTACTAGAGACACGAAACTACTTTTTTTAAGGTGGGTCTTTACTAGAGAATCAAATCTTCATGTAGTTGTGAAGACAGACATTTCTAACCCAATCATAATGTAGTGGAGACAGAAGTTTATGAGTTTCTTCAGCTTATCTTCTCCCAAAAACTTCGCAAAACTGGTTTCATTTATCAGCTTCCCGTCTTTGTACGCTACCACACCGTTCTCCGCAAAATTGTAATCGAACATCGACAATGTGTTGGGACCTTTTTTTTTAGCTAAATACCGGTAAAAATGGGGTATGATAAAGGAAGCCTACTAGAATACCACGATGCATATCTTACGAAGGCGCAAACCTACTTTTCCTTGCAGCTAGTCTTACGTAAAGCTTACCTCAAGGCCACAAAGGGTCAAAAATCATCAGCCCAAATAGAAGGGATAGACACACTCAAACCTTCTAGCAGGACCGCTTCTTCTAAGTACAACACTAAACATTTAATACCAAGTAAGTTGTTCCTTCTGCTTGCTCATATCGCACACTATAAATAAATTTGATACCAAGTTGTTCCTTCTGCTTGCTCAGATCCCACAGTATAAATAAATTTGATACCAAGTTGTTCCTTCTGCTTGCTCATATCGCTGCCGCCCACTACGCCAATGTTGACTTTTTCCCTTAGTCTCGCCAAAGCATCTATCATTGGTTGATCTATCGTCCCTCGTGCCTTCGTCAGCGTCCCATCCACGTCAAATTTAGAGCGCAAGGCAATTCATATTCCTTGCCTACATTTCTCCCAATCCTAAGAAGAAAACAGAGAAAGATGTGAGGCGTAGAAAACAAATGAAATATATTGAGCCTTAACAAAAAGGACGATCTTTTTGCCACTAGCCGCCATCTTCCCCGCCACAGGTAATCGCTAGTCCGAGAGATCACAATCACGTAAACGATGTGTACCAGACAGCAACTACATATATAGAAGTAATTAACCCGCAAGAGCTCACAATCCCAGGAAGTTCGCTCGGTCAATCGCAGATCTTCAGGGAGCTGTACAGCAGGATCTTCAGGGAGCAGGTGTGCAGCACGAAGATACACGAAAAAATATTCAGAAGTGTGGTTAGGCGTCTTCTAGCGTTTGGTAGCTCCAGGCGTTTTCTAGCGTCTACACCTAGCGTCTGCCGTTTTCTACCGCCTGGCAAAATCCCAAAAGAAACGAGAGAGATACACACACCTTCACCTTTTCATGAAAAACCTCATTTGAATTTGAAAACACAACTTTCAAAATAGTTAAACCTAGTCTCTTTATTAATTAACTTCTTTTACAACTATTTCTTTATTGTTTAAGTACACCGTCAAGACTGACACTCACGCCGAGAAACATCGCACTATACAACGGAAATGTGAATCCCACGGTAGCAAACAGCTTCTGTAGGGATGAATCTTCACAATAGATCTTCACAATAGAGACCAAGAACAACGACAACGATGAAGCCCCTCCACTTGAACACTGTTGAAGAGCACTCGCGCTTTAACGCGTCGCGCGTTGCTCTTCCTCCAAACAAGCCAAATTATGCTCTATTAACATCTGAAATCCTGTAAAATAATAACCAATAAAAGCACCATCGATCATTGACACGCGTTGTTGACGCAACGATACCATCTCGGCCGGACATCGTGGTCGTGCACCAACGGAGAAAAACCAAAAGCAACAAAAATCCTGTGAATTTTTTGAGCGTGTTGACGCATTGGACATCTTCGATCTATGATGGATAAAAGGATATGAATCACCGCTGAACAATAGGAGAGGAGAGGAGTTTATTTCTATGAGCTTATTCTTCACCTTCCAGAGCGAACCCCTGTAGTACCCTCTAGGTGGCTCGCATTCCTTTCTGGGTGATTCTAGGCGACTCACCTCCCTAAACAAACGGTTTAGCCCTAACCCGAACGACCTCTGCTAGTACTTCTACGTTATTTCACCCTAACCCTACTTCTACAGCTACGTGTCATCCCCTTACGTGAATGACTATCATCTTCCCCTTACGTATCATCCCCCTACTACTAGGCTACAGTTACTCACGTACTGAATTACTATGACTCACACCCTACTGCTTAACTCGTCTCACACCCTACTAGGTGGGTGACTCACATTGTGACTCGCCTCAGCTCATCCACGTTCTGCAGGAATTCGTATTCCGCACAGAAATAGCGTCGCGATTCCCACTTGCTGCCCAAGGTTGACAGCCTCTCGACTTCTTCCGGATAACCTTAGAGGAGCTTAAGAATTTCCTGTCCTGGAAATTCTTCGTAGACGCTGACTGTTTTGAAATCATCAAATTCCAAGAAATTTTGGTTTTATCTCCATTGATTTAATACAAATTCGTTTCCGGACGAAGAGATAGACACAGCGTGAGACTATAATGGGTACGAATTGGCACATTCTGACAGGCCTAGAAATCCTCAAAACATGAAAATGTAGCTTCTGCTAGGACTAAAAGTCCTACAAGGTCGTTCTGGAGACATCAACATGACCCATTACACTTAGATGAATTCATGACAGGCGCTAGCCTTAACTCAATCGCACTGCATGAAGACCAATTTTGTCTCCGGCGCTTTTGCTGGTCTCGTCTGGAGCTAACAGGGTGCGGATGCGATCTTGGTTGCCACTAGTAAAAACGACGCCACAGCCAATCGAGAGACACCAACTAGCATTAGACGAGATCGAGGGGAAGAAGATACAATTGAAAGACACCAACTAGTATTAGACGAGATCGAGGGGAAGAAGATATAATTGAAAGACACCAACTAGCATTAGACGAGATAGAAGAGTAGAAGTTGGTGTAGGGTTTATTAGGGTGTAGGGTTTATTAGAAGATACGGACGATGAAGAAACTGTTGCTCACACGGAGGACAACAAACGATTTGTCCGTTCGTATGATGTTGATTAATAGCAATTATAGTATCTATGATGTATATCTATGATGTATAGTGACTTGGGAATAGACAGTCCTGAAGAAAGATAACGAGATGAAAGATCGATAGTTCTGATTTACCCCCATCCAACGAGGGAAACTTGGTCCTCCTATCACATAATCTACGAAATGATTAGAAATGATTGTCACATAATGTAAACTATTTTCTCCGGGGTTGTTTCCCTCGAACGAGCCATCTCCTGAATTTCGAGTTTTAATGCGCGACTCCGCTCAAAGGCTGTCACTATAGGAGGATTTCGTTCGAGATCGTGCCTGCAGGAGGAAATAGATTGAGTTCTAAGTCCTCGCACATGAAGAGGGAAATAGAGTGAGTTCATCTGGGTCCTCGCACATGAGGAGGGTAATGATGAAGTAGAAGTAGTGTAAGAGGCAAAAAGAAAGAGGACCTTTTCAACATCCTTTTCTTATTTACACCTACTTTTTTTACTTACCTGCTCAATGATGTTTGTAGACCTTGGAAACAAGTCTATCTAAATGGTTTTCAGAAGTCCTGGTGCTCAGAAATGGTTTTCATGCCTTAATAGTGTATGTAAATGGTTTTCAGAAGTCGTGGTGCTCAGAAATGGTTTTCATGCCTGGAATCAGTTTGTTCCTTTGACACGCAACTTGAAGACAAATTAGAAAATTTGAGAGCTCCCACACCTGCAAATGGGACGAGAGTTTCCTGTTTTTCTAGCTGCCCACGCCAGTGACCATGCCAGATGCTAGTTGATGCTCGGATTTGAAAAATTTGCGATACCTTTCACCTAGTATTGGGACCGTCAACCTTTAAATATAAAGCTAGATGCTAGTTGACACTCGGATTTGAAAAATTTGCGATACCTTTCACCTAGTATTGGGACCGCCAACTTTTACTTTTGAAGCTATTTACGATAGTGGTCATATCATGTCGTGTGCCCTTCCCACTTGGCCTATCTATCCGAGGTTTGTATCAACAACACCCGGGCCTATTAATTTATCCAAGGTTTGTATCAACAACACCCGATCACCTACTTCAAAAGACAAAAAAAAGTTGACTTCTATAGAACAACAGGTGACATTTTTTCACTTCTTGTCAAGAAAAAAATAGTACAGATCTTTGAGTCTCAATCGAACCTACTTCAAAAGACATAAGTACTTGGACTTATTACAATCGAGGTACTTAATAACACCCCCCGAGAACCTACTTCAAAGGCCATACAAATACAATCGAAGTAGATCATAAAAAAAAGTACTGATCTTTGAGTCGCAGCCGATGTCTTTTCCTCTTTTTTCGATCTCGTGTGTCTTCTGAATCCTCGCTCCCCTTCTCCCAGCAATTCTCCTCGTCAAACGGTGGCTCATAGTCATAGACTGCTAAGGGATCATTGTCCGGGTTGGTGTCAACTCGGGGTTAGAGGGAAGATAGTGGAGGAAGGTGGTGCAGGATCGGACACATCGTATCATGGGGAACGAAGACTTAATACTGTAGGTCTGTATGGCGTGTAAACTCCTAGCAAGGTAACGTACAGTGAGGAAGACGAGCAGGGAAGCAGAACCGGTCACCTTGACTTTTTTCAATTGCTTTGTCTTTGATCGAGGACACATCGGAAGTAGTCTGGTGACAATGCTTCCCGAATTATCGACCCATACTTAACACATATGCCATACTCAACAATGCTGGCTGATTCCTCGATCGGGATCCCAAAACTGTCGTATTTCACCCTCTCGGGATCGCTCTCTGGATACCCAGGCCTCGACCTTCGTGTATCTATATCGGCTTCCCCTGGTGCTATGGAAGATGAAGGGACAACATAAATATGTATATGTTGCTGAAAGGGCTAGATCTCTAGAGGTAAAAACTTACTAACCGGCTGTTTTATTTAGTGCTATACAACATATTAAATATGTATATGCTATTGCAGCTGCTGGATGAAGTTAGTACGAGTCTACAACAACTCTTCATCATGAAGTACGAGTCTACAACAACTCTTCATCAAGTGAGAACTGACTGGCAAGGGCAACCATCTGACAACCATAATGTCCGCAATGGAAACAAGGCTCCGAAGGCGAAGCACTTAGGCAGAATCGACTGATCGTCCCGCAAGCCGAACCACTCACTAAAAAGCTCCCGCATAATCTCCGTGTCGGGTTGATAGTGCAAGTGCGCTTCAATCTGATTGCAAACAGGGACTATGCGGCAACGGGAGTTAGAAGAGTTAGGAATGAGTGAGTGAATGAATGAATGTGCCTAGCGCGAGGAGGTGGCGCAGTTATTATTACTTAAGCATAGGGACAAGCTTGTTACAGAAGATTACAGATTACAAATTATGCATAGGGGCAATGACTTAATTTTGGCAACGAAATCTTGATGTACTAATGCACTCCAGAGCAGGAACAGCTGAAACATCAACCTCCTAGTCCAAGTGACTGGAACAAAATCACTGACACAACTCACCTTCGAAATCATCAAACATCCTCATCGCATCTTAAGAATATTCCTTGAAGCGCTTCTACTCCGGATATTAGGCCGTGGGCCAACGTAGGCAACTAGAGGATGGTCCGCTAGGTTTTCATTCGTCAATTCTGACGGATGGATCCGGGCTCGTCGATAGGGAGCAAATGAAAGTAGGACTTCTTCCAACAATGACCTCATGCCAGGCACATCAATCAATCAACTATATGCGGCCGTCTAACGAGCCGCGGTGCTGGATGACGGAGGAACAAACAGACCCAGGACCAGCTCTGGACTGTGCGAGCACGACTCAATCAATCAGTCAATGAATCATCAGTGCGTCTCCAGTGATTGTACAGGATCAACGGCAAGACGAAACTTGTGAGGCGGGAAAGTAGACAAATGTACTACTTGTAAGTATTTCTACAGCGTTTTTCTTTTTCATGCTAGAGGTAGGTGTACAAACTAGCCTAGTCCAACTAGTACGTCATCAAATTTTTTCCTTCCTGCAAAAAATGATCTTATTCACAATAGCACGAGGAGTAATACAACTTCAATTCACAACAAACAAAAATTTAAAAAAAGTCTAAGGACTACATAGCTGCAACTCCTGCTCTTGCTCCCATCACAGACCACTGTAAAAAGAGTACTACATAACTACAACTTGTGCTCTTGCTCACTTTTGAATCAATAAAAATGTCCTAGTACTCCATAAACAACTAGCTACATCAAAGTTCGAAAGATATGCCAAGATGCCCAGATCAGTATTCCGAAACTGTCAATGGGACTTTCAATGCCACGCTTCCTAAACAGGGCCCAATGGAAGCATTGTAAACGACATTAAAAAGGGACCCTTTGAGATTATTTTTAAGTCAACTCGGTTATTTTGAGTTTACGAGTAATTTCGTGAATGATGCTCTTGCTCACCTATGAAACGATAAAAACGCCACAGTCCATAAGGAAACTTCTTCCACGACACCTGTGTCGCGCTTAGTGTCCTCGAAAACAAGCCAGTCTACATGCTTCCGGCTAAAGTTGGAAACTCCTATGCTCCGACACAAGAACCCTTCTAACGCTAGATCTTCCATTCTTTTCCACGCACCACGCAATTTCTCCGCTTGTCGTCTTTCGGAACCTGCTAGTCGGGAGAGGATGCTTAGAAAGTCGAGAAGTCGAAGGGTAGAAATGATCTCTCTCTCTGGATGCTCAGACCATGTCAGTTCACAGATGAAGTGAAAGTTGAGCAGAAAATCTCGTAGTTGAGTGTCGTGATAGGTCGCCGCGTCGTGAACCTTAAAAACAAATCCAACCGTGCAGCAAAAGAGCGACTTGCTGCCTTGTTGAAAAGGATCTCCCTCATCTCTTCTGGAGGCAGACTTGATGCTGGTCGCATATCATTTTAGATAGAACCAAGAGAACCCCTCAATGTCCAGGAGCATCCTGAAGATGCTGCTTTTCGACCTCCAGGAGCTGCATCCTGATTCTGCTTTTCCCTTCAAAAGCAGAGCACTTCGAAAGCCGTGCGATAGAAGATGAGCATCCACTTCCTTAATTATTGCCATCTAGGCATCCACTTCATCTACTTCTAGCCTTAATTATTGCCATCTCGATCGCGCCAAGCGTGTGGATTCTGCCAATACTCATGCGTATCCAGTACTATGTCCTCGTGGTCCAACAGCCGTCTTTTCTCCTCCACCAGCTCTGCTGCGTCTCCATACAATTAGAGCTACCGCGTCGCATTTTCCTCTTGCCAATCCTTGAGCCGCTTTTCCTCTTGAAAAGGAGGACCTGCCAAGGATCATGGTGTCATGAATGGTTCCGGTATTTGGTAACCTGAGTTTGATCATAAGGGAAAACAAGAAGAGAACCCTTAGGATCAAACTCAGGCTATACCAAAGACCAGAACCATACATGTTAAGGACATGCGCCGTCATGGTGTCAACTTAATACAAGGCCTTGTCGATGCCCAAACCGTTGAACGGATTGTGCAAGAGATACAAATCCACGTAGTCGATTTGCAACCGGGTTAACGACCGACACAATGCGGCCACTATATCCGCGGATAAATCACTAAGCTCACGATCCGATGAACTCGATACAGTATGAAGAGATGAAGAGTCAGAGTTTTACTAGCTTATTTCCCCGAGTATAATCTCATGGCACCAGACCACCATCGTTTCATCTCATGTCGGAAAGGGTGGCACTTTTTCCCCTTCCTTGATTGCACTTCTTCAAAAAAAAAGAGTGCCACGCCGGTCACGGAGATGACCTACTATAAAGATGGGAGAGGATGAGGTATCGGCCCCCTCATCCTCTTTATTATTATTTTTTACCATAAAGAGGATGAGGCCAATACTTGGTTGTGATAAAAAGCTCTTCTCTTGCTCGCCCAGTCTTCTTCAACCACACACGTATTGCTTCGCCAACCGACCGCTCCTGCCTGTAGTAATCTGCAGTGTCAATGTGTCTGATACCACTGTCCAGGGCCGTTACAATGGCTTCTACTAGTACTGGGTCGACGATCTCTTGTTCCCCCGCACCGGTCTCGTCTACAGCACTAGGCCTGCCGTCTTTGGTTCTGCTTTCCACCCTCGAATTAGTAATGAAGTACTACGCTGCTACCTACTCCTACAGTAAGGTATTTAGCGTACACAAAAGTATAAGCAGTAGCCTTTACTACTTCAATTATGAGCAATTTAAAGAACTGGATGAATTCTGCAGGAGAAGCATCACCAAACAAGAATTTCAGGGGTCAATGTTTCTCAAGAAGCTTATCAAGTCTAAACTGGAAACAACCCTCTTCATCACACCAGGAGACTATAACAGAGCAATTCATAAGGTTTCACCGCTCGCATGGCATGGAGTGCATATATCACATGGAGTAGCATGGAGCTAAAGGGGGAGCTTCTTGCGCCCCTTAAAGCTCTGCGCTCCATGCACTCCATGCTACTCCATGCGTGCTATAAACTACTCTGCTATAATAATTTTTCAATGAAGAATATGCCAATGCAGCCAATGTACATATTTATATCACACTTGTCGAGCATACCTCCATCCCCCTCTGCTTGATGCTGAAAAGAAGATTGTGCCCTATCCTCTCCTTCTTGCCCTTGTTTTGGCGGTATCCAGCGTGTGCCAGTTCCAAACGCGACCTTGGGACAACGTACGTAGTTACTGAAATAGTGTTAGAGCTACCGCACCATCGGCATCCCTGAGAGAGTGCGTCCTCAACATTACAGTAGCCTTGGTACCATTTATTTCAAGTAGAAAGACATAATAATTTTTCAATTACGTACCATTTTCAAGTAGAAAGACATAATGAGGAGAGGATCATAATGCGGAGAATGCTTAAGCCGTAGCCTTAATAGAAATACTCATCGCCGCCTTCTGATGTCGTTGATGTTCCCGGGTCTGCTCTTAGAAGCTTCAGGAGGTAGAGTCGGGTCCAAGAGTAACATCTACCGGAAGTTATGATCCAAGGGTGAGTATCTACGACTCCAAGAGTATCTATGTAGGTTAGGTGACGGCGACACTTGCAATGCAGACGAAGCTTGAGCAGCCAGTGGCCCATTATACGAGGTAATGGTAATCCTGTCAACCTATAGATCTAGTAAACATAACAAGATCTATTCAACTATTCTGAGGGGTACAACAAGATCTAGTCAACTCAAGAACCCCACTTTGCTTACTCGAGGAGGCCTACTCGTTACTAGTTGCACTGTCCTCAACTTTGATGCGTTGCTCTTCCCATCCTTGCTTTCCGTTCTTCCTCCTCCTTCATCCTCGCTTTTGACCAACTTCTGGTCTGAGAGCCAATAGTAGTTCTCGTTGCGCAGTCGTTCCACGTACTCCGAGACAGGCTCGTAACGAGGGACCTGCACCTGCATTCTATTTCTACTTAGTCTTTATCTTGATAAGGCTCGTTATCTTCTACTTAGTATTACAGGCTCGGCGTAGGGACAAGGGGGAGCCTGCTGCGCCTGCATTGTCCTGTTACTTTCTTCTAGGTTAGGTTAGGTGTGGGTCCACTAGATAAACCAGCAGACTTCTTCTGCTTTTGTGGTACTCCTAACGGGTTTCCAATAAATTCGCCAATAGACGGCTTCGTAATTTCACTCACTCTAGTCACGATCGGGCCAAGCTTGTTGATGCTTATGTTGTTTTTCAAGCTCTCCTCTTATTTTTCGTTTTTCTAGAAGACAGCCTCCCCGTTAATCATGTGCTTTTACAGTGTTCTTGGCGCTTAGGTTACTGCTTCCGCGCTGCGGATGTACCCTTTTCAACTTCCAACAAGTTTTGGTGGGAGTGTGGATTTTTTTGTGGGAATGATGACAGATAAGGCTTTTAGAGGTAAAGGCCTGCGCGGCTCTATCTCGGGGGAATACGCGAGAAACTTCCTCCGCTGGAGATGTGCGACGTTTTTGTTTCGTGATTGATTGAAATGGATCGAGCTTCCTCGTCTGTTATTGAAAGCCTACCGTCGTTTGCTATCCTTCCTCCTTCTCTACCGTCTCTACCGCATTTTTATATTCCAGCACTCTACTCTCTATCTTTCACTCCAGCCTTTTTCGTTTAGCCTGCTAACAATGTTGCCGAAAGATCAAAAGACAAGTAGACTTCAGATAGATACTAGCACGAGATGGGCAGCAGCGTGCTGTTGTCGTTGTCATTCAAGAAGGTAAGTGCTGTAAGGCACAACGAGTAAGTAGTATGTGACAGTCGTTTCCTCGTAAGAGAGTACTGAAAACCAGCTGACACGAGAGAACACTCATTTGTACTTCGTGAGCAAATTGAGCAATCTCCATGCAAACCGCATTACACTGAAATGAAAGGACGACTGTCCGAACATCATCCATCTCATCAGAGAGTAGACCGAACGGCTCTGATAATTTCATTGATCGGGATCGCCTTGCTAGTTCATGTTATCCCCCGCACAACCGATACTTACTTTCATCCAGTATCAGAACACCACAAGAGAAGTCAAAAAACTGCTGCGAAACGCGCTACGTGCTTCCAGTGTCACTCTTTAAACTACGCCTGCCTGCACAGCTGTCAACCTACTGGTAGTGCCATTTTTTGGAAAGGTCCAGGTTGATAAGTTTGTTCATCTCCTTCGAGAGAAAGACATAATCCAAGAAAAAAGACACAAGAAGAAGAAGCATCAACATATAAAGCTATAATACATGATGGTCAGATTAAAGTGAAAAGACTACAGGAGAAGAAGAAGAAGAAACTCAGATGCAAGAAAAAAGTAAAAGTGAAGAAAGATGAAGAAACAACCCTAATCATCAATCATAATAGTCGCACCATCTACTAGTCAATCACAAACATCAACAACATGAAAAATGCCCTACATAATAAGAAGTAAACGGAGGCGCAGCCACTCTTAGTGAGGATCTTTTTTCGGACCCGTCAAGCTCGTAAGGGAGATAGCAGCGAGCATAAAGTGTCACCTTTTTCGGCAAGTTCAGATCCTATTTTTTATTTTTATGCTATTTTTATTTTTGTTTTTTAAGTTGTTTTTTATTCTTATGATTTTTCAATTCTTCAAGAGCACAAGTCCACGATTCTAAGGCACAAGACGACAGGATCAAAGAACCAGCAAGAATGGAACTTTCCTTTTCAGCTCACCAAAAAGGGGCAAGCTCCTTCACCATTCAAGATATAACAGATGACCGGACTTTTTTCACCATTTTTTATATATACCTTGGTATTAGTTTTTTCGATACAGCCACGAGCTAGAATAACTTTGTTTTATGGAACACCAGGCTTATTCGTAGCACGGAGAAAATCACTTTTTTGACGATCAATTCGTCAACGTGCCACTAAAAACCTATCGGGTGTGTATTAAGCAACATCTTATAAGAACCGCTTATGCTACCATTGGTAAACCTATTTCTTACACTTCAAGTCTGAACTACTTACGCAGCATAAATAGACCTAAAAAATATATATACCTAAAAAAGACCTAAAAAATCATATATTTACACCTAAATAGATAACCTCCTACGTACCAACATTCTATCCTTAACAACTGCTACCAATAAAATGTCGTGAAGTATTAGCTGACGAGTGACAGGATATTCTCTAGTTCTTCTAGTAGTAGCCAAAGACCGTTTTAAAAAAGTTCTATTGTTAGATAATTATTCCAGTAGTAATCAGAAATCTTTCTCAAAAAACCTCACGACCAAGACACTATAGGGTGAAGGATTAATTAGTAAAAAGCGATATTATTATTTATTACTTCACAACTACTTATATATGGGCAAAGTTCTTGTTCTTGTGTGTGGCTATGTCTGAAAATACGTCGAGTTAAGTTTCCTTCTTACTAGTTTTCCTCTTTCCAGTCCTTTTCTCTGTGTGTTCGTTAAGTATGACAAGGGTGGGAGGACCTTCCACATACTTTCGTGCTTAGGTTTCAAGGAGATTAGTCGATCCATCCATCTATCTCTTCCCAACAAACGTTTAGGTTTTGGTTTAAGAGTCGTGGACTCAGAACATAAGAGATAAGATGGAGCTAGTGCTCACTGTAAACGCGAGTGCGTTAGTTAATGATAGTTAAGTGTTCACGCCGGAGGAGGGTAACACTGAGGGATTGAAGTCGAGAGACTAGACATCTGTTACTATAGAGCTAGGGCTCTAAGAATCTATTCAGTCCAGTCGAGGGACACCAAGGACAATTTCATAAGAAACAACAAGAAGTTTGGAATTGTCATCAACTAAGTAGTTACTTGCTTGGTCACTGCTTCGCCCTGTCGTGGATGTGCCTAGATTTTCATCGGAGGGCGATGATAATCAAAAATGGTTTTTCTGGAGTGTGCTGCAGTTAACGTGCTCACTAATCAGCGCCATCCCCACACGATCAGAGGCGAATTTTCTCCACCTTTATTCACCTCAATCAAGCATAATAGGCGCCTTTTTATATGCACAGGGAAGAAGGAGGAGAATGCCATAATTGTCTTTTCATACACGATGGAGCACAACAATCAATGACATCACTCAAAAACGAAATATTTAAGACTTTAGACAGCTTCTTTTTAACAACTTCAACACCAGCAAGAAAGTAAGAAATTCACTTGCCAAGACGACCATCTTCACGCACTAGGTAAAAAGCAAAACTTAAGACAACCAAAACAGTACTCGCTTACTTATTCATACCATGGAAGACACGAATAGGATCCAAAATTTTCTGAGATTGAAGACTATTACCCGGAAACTTTCAGATCTATGTTTTGCATGTTATTCCGGAGCAGATAGGAGGACTAAGACAAGATACATCACGACCAGATTCTTCAAATATTCTTTCTTCACAACACCACGCCACACATGAACCGCAAAAGTCGATAGCCCTTGCACGACCCCCCCTTCCCCATAATATGACGAGAACAAAGCTTGCATCTCCACTAGCTTCAAGAGCTCCACCTTTACACTTGATTAAAAACTACTTACCCTCCCATGATGCGCCCGAACATGTCTCGCTCCCAATGTGCCTGACTAGGATAGGACGCTTGGTCTTGACCTAACACGCAGGAGCGAAACTCTTGCTCAAAACGTTTCTGCTGTTGGTCTGCGAGAGACATCAGTGTACTCATGGAAGAACTCGTCGGACCGTAAACGGCAGCTCCTGCAATCGCAGCAGTGGAACTGGACGAGGGAAACGGAGTCGATAAAAACGGACTAGACCCAGACGCAAATGGTAGTGGAGGAGCTGACGAAAAAGGGCTCGACGCACATGGCCCAGATCCAGATGAAGCAAAAAGTGAAGACTGACGACCGTAGAAAACCGGTTGACCGGAAAGGGCGGCCGCGTCTTCAAACGTCATTCGCCTACCATCAGGATGCAAAACTTTTCCGTCACTCGAAAAGATCGCACGCTGCGGATTGCCTGGTAGATAAGCAGGACCCTGATCAGGAATTGGACCGCTCAGGCCCAAACGCTGTTCCATATCATCGCAAAACAAAGCAGCCTCCCGGCAACGCACTGTCCAAAAATCCTGTAGATCATCTTGTACTTGTTGGACATGAAGGCCTCCTTTTCCTACTTGTCCGCCATGAACTTCAAGATCATGATCATCTTGTTGGAGGACGTGACCTTGTGGCCCATCTTCATGAAGATCTTCGTGTTGGTTTCCTTGGTTCTCTGCGTCTGCTGTCTCATCCTTACGACCACAACATTGCTGGGCTAGTTGACGCAGCGCCAGTCTATCTGGAGGATTGAGAAACTTTGAAAGCAGTAACATCTGAGGCCAGTGCTCGTCAAAGAACGGGAGAAGGCGACTTTTTTCTTTACGAGTTGGCACAGCTGCTAGGCCAGGAGTTGTCAGGCGTGGCCGTTCAGCACGACTTGTTTGTGTCTGTAGTTCTTGCTGCTGAGACGAGGAGCGTGCTGTCTCACCATGGAGATTATCTAGCACACGAAGAAAACCCGGCTGAAATTTTTGCTGCTGGGGCAACCCACCCAATCGCAAGCGTTCTACTTCATCTTCTGAGCGTCTGGCCCGTGGTCGTGGTGTAAGGAATCCAGACCTTGGGCCAGGAACTCTTTCGATGTTCATTTCAAATTCGCAACATGTTTGAGGCCTTTCCACTTCCTGACTGCCTTCATTCATCACTTCTAGAATAGCCTCTACGTTGCTCTGAGACACCACTCTTCCCGTTCCCGCAAGAGAAAGGCCGGCTCCCACGTTGGACAGCATATTCTCATCGGATGTGATGTCTTCCCAACCGACACGCCCTGTGCCGGTCAAGGCACTAGGGTCTGGCGACGTAGGAGATGAATCGTTACTCCCACGACTGTTGTTCTCCTTGTCGAAAGAACCAGCCGTAGTTTCTACTTGAAGTTTCTTAGCACTGCTTGATGTAGTTGTTGTCGATGTCGTCGTGACAAGAAGTTGTCCAGCTGCGTGCACACCCTGAAGCACACCCCCAAGGTGGACGAAGCTCCACGATGCGACGGCCAGCATCTTCAACAGGTTGTAAAAGATGTGTGCCCAAGACGCAAACATCTTCGCGGTTGCCATTTTCATTTTCAGCGTCTTTCTCGTCGTATTATATCTAGAAGTAGTTCCTTAACGTACTTTCTTAAAATACCTGATCTGGTTCGTATCTAGTGAACGGGCAATGCGAGTAAGGGAATCCTCTTGCTTGTTGTATGGGTAAGGGTATTCTTATTTCTAGTATCTATTAGCAGTACTGGCAGAAGTAGTTCTTTAACCTAATGGTCTAATAAATAATAATAGTAGTAGTTTACCCTTTCTAGTATGGTCTAATAAGTTGCATCTCGTACAGCCAGTATCTTCTTAATGTGAATCGGTGCCAATTATGAGATTAATGCAGAGACACTAACCGTGACGAAATGGTCTCACGCTAATGATTCCCTTACCACATCGACTACGAACAATGTATCATGCTTTTTCCCTACGATCATCCAGATTTAGTATCCTCACTCCCCACAGCATTATGGCCAGAGCAACAGAATACTTTAGCTACAGAATAAAAATCTATTTTTTAAATTTGTTTTTAGGTATTTAACTAGCTAGTTAACTAGGATAGAAAAGTGGTGGTCAAGAGGCAGCATGCGGAAGGCGGAAGCGGAACGGCAGCAGTGAAGCCGCGAGATGGAGAGGCTGTCCTGAAAGCGGTCTAGTAGAAGTAATGAAGAGCAAGACTCTAGTGCTGCAAGATCTACGGCTTCGTGTCGGAACGGCAGCAGGACGCGCTAGATCCTCGTGCTGGGCGTCGCCATCTTTTCTACTACTACAAGAGAGAGAACTACAAGACACCTAGTCTGACTCTGGACACCTTAGTTTCTACTTGAAAGCGATCAAATGGAGCAAAATTGACAACAGATGAAGGAGAAGGCTCAGGCTAACTAGAAACAAAGCACAACGAGGGAAACCATGCAAACTGGTCCTGAGTGGTGTGAAGATGAGAAGGCAATCGTGAGAAATGACGCAAGAAGATGCTGACTTACGGAGGAGACTAGCTAGCTGAGTACTTGATGAGACGCCGCTAGAATTTGAGGCATTTTGATCCGATACTCTCGACATCTTCTGACTTAGGCAGTAGCGATCCTCGATGCTCTCGCGATGGGATCTAATCCGCGACAAGTAGAGCAGAGCTGCAGAACAGAACTAGACCAAGCTCTCTCGTCGAAGTTCTTCATCAAAGCAACTCCAGAATGCGCATCAGATTTCGCCATACAACCTTTTGGGAAGGAGGTAGCACATCAACAGCGAAGCAAGTGGATTCTTTGTCAACTCAAAGGAACAAAGCGGCGAGATCCTGCATTTTTTAGGCGATTGCGATTCGTAGCAGAACATAGGAAGAAAGACTTGCATAATGTTGCCCTTATCGGCATGGGACTGAATAGTCTAGATGAAATCACATGCATCATGCTGCATCAGGCACGAGACTACTCAACTTGGAGCCCCGAACTTCCTGCCTACACATTCACACGGAAGCAGCTCGTAGTCCATCTTGTCAAGCTCCACTCCGACGGGTTCGGTGTGGACACACAGCGGCTTCACTCGGTGACAGCATACACAGCAGAGACTCTCATCGAGAAAGAGTGCAGGAAGTGCTTCCTACAAGCGATTCGCAACACTGCTGTAGTGTATACCCCTCGCTCAGTCGAGTTTGAGGCTGTAGATGGCGACATCACCACTAGAATGTTACGACCGCGAACCTTTCGAGTGCAAGAGAAGGTGCTCGCGTTCAGAATGCACGACGACGAATCACTTGGCCTCCGGGCGTCCCTGCGCAGGTATTTCAAGTCTGTGTCCAAGTAGGAGACGACCTCGCTTGTATTAAGAAGCACCAGCTGGGTTAGCTTTTTGAACAACTTAGCTTCCACCTTCAGGGCCTCCGGTGACAACTATACCCCGGAAGATTTCGACTTTCTGCTTTTGCATGCTAGGCTTCACGTTGAAAAGATGCACAATAGCGGCGGAGAGATACACGGGAGCGCCCTTATTCCCATGCGGATACTAACCAAGCAAGGCATAGTCAGCTACCGAAGCAAGTACTTCATCTGTTTTGATGCAGCAACTACTCGCTCTGGCTTATAAAGGCTCTTCTAGTTTTCATTCGTACCTAGTTCCTCAAGGGTCGACCTTCGTTGCTAGTAGCAAAAACGTACTCACTCAGTCATCGTTTCCTCCTCTCCATCTCAATTCACCTTTTTTCACTCTAGTCTGTCCTCTCCTCTCAGTTCCAGAACAACCAGCGGCAAGAGTTGCATAGCGATTTATCCTGCTGCGCCGGGTGTTAAGCGACCACGGGCCACTATCCTGGAGCAGTTCTACGCCCCGATTGAAGGAGATTTTTCGGGGACTCTTTGCGGCATCATCGAGTTCGAGGCTAAGAATCACGAAAGCCTTGCACCAGCTGAAGGGTCTACGGTAGATGGGGAAGTGACTGACTCAAGATCATGCGTGTTGCAGTGACCGGGTTTCTAGCTTCGGGTACAGATCAGACGGATTCGGCTGCGAAATTAATGATACAACTGACCAAGCGGGCAGCTCGGTGGATTCTCTATACGGTACTACATTAGATGTCGCTATTATGTTAGACTATGAACGTGATGCATCTATGGCAATAGTGTGTAGCTTATCTAGTCGTGTACTTCTGTTCATTCTTTTCAAATATAGCTTCTCTATTCAATGAAATGCTGATGGTGGAGGAGGGCGCTCGGGGCGTTCCAAAAAGACTGCTGAACATGACAGAGGCGCAAACTACTGCAGCAGGATCTGTTATGAAAGTAATGACTTATTTCAAAATAACTGGGATTCATGCTGGGGTAGATCACTTTCGAAACAAACATGGCGACTTAATATTTTTTTTTGGTTCCTGCTTTCTTCACGTTATGCATCGACTGGGACCCACTTGATTTCGAAGTTTGTTTTGCGTGCTTGTTGCTCATCAGATTGCTCTTATTGATAGAGGCTGCAGGAGCACCTTTACGCTTGCTGATGTGTGACGTGGATGAAGATGGGCCCGGAGGCTGACGTGGTTGATCTGAATCATCGTTGACGTAGATGCACCCCTCGATGTTGTCCTTCGCCTGTGCAGCTGCGTTAAAAGCTGAGTCTGGGATTGGAGTCCATACTTCTTCTGCTACATCAGAGGGATCATCGTCGCAGTCTGCCTTCTCACGACAAAGCTCCACTTCACCTTTCTGGAGGTTATGTTCGAAGAGGACGTAAGGCACAAGGCGCGAAGCTACCGCTCCATCAACGTCGGCTACCGCTGGTATTTCTGGAGCTAGCTTCGCTAGTTTCGGTTTGAAGTTCGCTGGTTGCCAATGAGTTCGCACCTTATCAGAAAGCGCACCCTGGCGACTACGATGCGATCTGAATTCTGCAAACACGCGAGGCTCGCGATTGTTCTTGATGCGGAGCGGATTCTCGCGAAGATAGTAGACTAATGCTGGAACTTGTCGCTGTTTACCACTACCATGCTCTTTACCGCAATGCGTACCGCGCGGAGTAGACATACAGAGTTCTCGCATCGCCTTCTTCTTGCCTGGTGAGATGGATTCTAGTCCTCCGCGAGTTGCGACGCGTTTCGCTGGTGTTGCCATCTCACGCACCATGTTTGCCCAATCAGAAGGCACACATCCGCGAAGGTAATTCATCATCGCTACACGACGCTGGTCCGCTGGTAGTGCGCGAAGCTGTTCATCTGTTACGTTCGGATAGCCTGCACGAAGTGGATTCAGCGCGGCGATCTGCTTATCAACCGCCATCGAAGTGAAGAACGCATCAATGGACTGCTCAGCGCTGACCCAGCGCTGGTCGTCAAGCATCACTCGATACCCTTTCCCCGGCACACTAGAACGGAAGCAACGCGCGCTCCCCTCGAAGACGTCGTGCTGTCCGACGAGGCCGGCCATAGTACTCAAATCGTCATGACTGGTCGGCATGCGGTAAAGACCATCAACTCCTTCGACCTTCAGCAGTTTGTATCCTTGCGCCCACTTCTTGTCGTAGAACTTGGTCACGCGAAACATCTCGTCGGAGTTGGGGACACGCAGTAGAACAAGGCCCTTCTTCGTGAGTTGTTTCTCTTCTACTACTCGCTGCGAGATGTCTTCCCAGAAGCCCAGCTGCAGCTTCGTTGTCCACTCGCCCCACATCACGGATGTTGCAATCACTCCACGGAGTCCCAAGTTGCTTGCCATGAAGCCAATAAAATCCGAAGAGTCTCCGCCCGTTTTTTCTACTTTCTGCTGCTTTTCGCAGATGATGCTGTTGTTCTTCCATCGATCTTTCATCATGTTCTTCATCTTCTGCATGTAAGAAGTGTAGTAGCTCTTGGCGCTGCCAGCGTCAGTCGAACTAGATGTCAGCGATGAGTCGAGCACGAAGGATAGGTCATCGTCGAGCAGAGAGTCGCTCACCACTCTGTCTGTCAGGGAATCTGTCACCTCCGCATCAACCGGACGAATACGCTCGTTTTCTTCTACTGCTGCAATGTACCGAGGATGCTGATTCATCGTCTGGACACGAGCAAGCTGCTTTGACCAATGAGAACCTGCAGCCTGACACCAGCGAGCTTCATGCTGTTTCTTCTCGTGCCATAGCGATTCAGCATCCTTCTCAAAGAAAGGCATGCTTTTGATGCGGCGATGGACGTAGCCCGCCAGTAGATGTTCTTCTTCCGTTCTGATACATTTCGCAGCACGTTTCGCTGTGATGGAAAGATGGAAAGGAGCTAGATCTTCTAGCTTCTTAGTTTGTCTGGGCTCGATCTTCCATGCTCCGTTCACATGCGACTCCCATAATCCAAACTGTGGATCATAACAATCGAAGAAGAAGTTGCTGATCACATTGCCCAGCAGTTTATGACTGGCATCCATGTGAGCATCAGACTTATCTACTACTTTCGCAATTTCCACGAAAAGAGTCCTCCAGTTTTGCCCGCGCATCTTCGACATCAACGCCTGCGCCTCCGGAGCCGTATATTTGCTGCTCAGCGTAGCGCGTGGATCTAGATATCGTCGCCCGATGGCCAACTCTTGCTCGTTGCGGAATGCGTGCTCATCATGTCTGCAGGAGCTGAGTCGCTCAAGGAGTCTGTAGAGGTCGTAGTGCGCACGACAGAGATCTTCTACTACCTCGTAGCACGATGGATCGCACGCGGCTAAAATTCCATCGTAATCAGATGCGTATCCGACCCACCCCGAGGGCATCGGAGTATCCTCATCCTCCGTATCCTCCTCCACTGTCTTCGGCTTGTAGTCCGCACTGATAGTAGCTTTCTTTCCTTTCTTATTTTCATCCTTCTCTACTGTTTTTACCAGCTGCAGGACGTGCCTGACCTTGTAGTGTTCAGTCTTCATTGATCTCGCAAACAACAGGTCACGAAACCACCGGGCGTTCGTACCATGCACCGCGGAGCAGCCTGTGGTTGAGAAATTAAAAAAGGAATCAGCCCAGCAGCAGCCAAATAGTTGGTCTTGGAGGCTAGACTCTATAGCATGCAGAGAAGAGAAATAGATGACGAATGGTGAATGTCAAGAAATTAGCAAGCCTCTTTCTTCCGAGTCCATACGTTCTGAGTTATTTGGCACCGAAAATAGCCACAGAAAAGCACGCTTCTCAAGAATGATTTAAGCAGAAAACTCAACTTTCATGATGTTGGAATCTAGTGGTGTGAAGTGAATTTTTTAGCAACAGAATACTTTCCGGGAAGGCCCCTAAGAACGGTGGCCGAGCCACGTATCTCTTATAGCATCAACCAAATCGACGCGAGAATGATTTTGATAGAAGCATCAAAGTTAGAAGATTCCAAGAAGAACCTTAAAACAAAGACCGGGGAAGTACCTCCTTTGAGTGCTTCGTGGACTGTTGGAACTCCCATTCCAGAGAGCATCTCCGCCTGAAATTTACGAGCAGGCGCGTCTGGATTA